CCAGAGAGGACACAATATGAGATGTGATCCAGAGGAGTAAAAAAAAAAAAAAAAATCTACATAGAGATGAAGGTATTTCTTAAATGGAGAAAAACTGGCACCTTTCCATCTGGGTAGATTGCACATATGGACACTATTCTGTGTCCCACCTCTAGCCGTAGGTTTGCATTCTTTCCAAATTATGAGGATGGATCACCTATGTATCTATGGGTCTCTGAGACACACAGTGTGGTGTGTAACAAAGGGTACAGAGTTTGTGCCTCAGGATCCTTGTTTGTGAACTGGAAATAGTAATAACTATATGTCTTAGTTATTTTTCTCTCATTGTTAAGACAAAATACCTGACACCCAAAATTAAAAGGGGAAAGGTTTATTTAGCTCACAGTTTGTAGAGGTTTCAGTCCATAATTGGCTGGGTCCAACACAGGGTGGTACATGGCAGAAGGGGCAACAGTCCATGGCTGCAGAAGACAGCAAAAGAAACAAGAGAGAGACAAGACTCTGTCCCTTATATTGTGGGTAGGCTACACGCCCTACAGCGGGTATAGCACTCACACCCTTAATTCCAGCATTGGACCCTGAATCAACACTCTAGATTCAACCACCTCTGAAAAGCCTGCCCCCACGAAGGCATGAGGCTTTGTGGGACATCCAGACACAAATCATAACCCCATATGACATGGCTATTGTGAAGATTGAAAGAGATGTTGTTGCATAAATGTGCATGATAGGCACCAAAATCTTATTTCTGTTCCTTCATAACATCCAAAGCACAGATAACCCTTTCAGTGTAAGAAAGTTAGATGAACCCCCACGAATCCTTCCCCAGGAAGAATTCAGATCCTGCACACTGGCAGCAAGAAGATTTATGGGACAGGTCATCTTGTGTCACAAGGCAGCTAATGATATACCTAGTGTGATTCATCTGAGGCAACACTGATCGGCTGCACTTAAAGTGATCAATCAACTGTCCAGTTCTGCCTGGGATTGAGGAGTGTCCTGGGACGTGGGACTTTGAGTGCTAAACTAGGAAAGTCCTAAGTCTTAGGCAAACCAGGACGATTGGTCACCCTACTCATCCAGCACTAATTAGACTATCAAGAATCCTGGGTTGATCCTTGTCTCATGGAGACCAGTTTTTTCCAAGCTATACAACAAAAAGGGCTAGATGTGATTTTGGGCTGTTAGGCTAGTATTTCCCCTTCTTCTTCCTCCTACTGCCAAACTTTTCCAGAGTGGCCCCTGCTCACCATGCCTTTCTGCTTAGCACATGTACTTTCTCAGAGTCGCTTATCTGGAGCTGCAGAACCTGACAGGTTTTTAAATAGCAGAAAGAGAAAGAGAGAAGGGGGAGTGGATTGAGATCTTTTCTCTTAAAGAGATATTTTTAAGTAACTTCACAGAGACAGAAAGCAATGAGGTCAAACCACAAATATTCCCAGCTTCAACAACACTTTCTCAGCTAAATGCTGAAGGGTAAAGAGGGATTGGTTCTAGGGATTGGTTCACTAAATGCTGAAGGGTAAAGAGGGATTGGTTCTAGGTGGGCATGGTGGAGCATGACTGTAATCCCAGCACTCTGGGAGGCTGGGGCAGGAGACCTGTCTTCAAATAAAAAATAAAAAAGGGCGGGGGATTTAGGTCAGTATAAAGGCTCTTGGCTTCAGTTACCAGTACTCAGTACTGCAAAGGAGGTGGGGGATTGGCCTTAGACTATTATGGTGTCCCTCCAGCCAGACACATCCTAGCTGCCAGGACAGAATTCTCACTATAAACATGAAGCCCACTGAAGTAGCCAAACCATTCTTTTCTTTTCCTGGAACTGAGCTCAACGCCATAATGGATGAATGGCTTCTCTGACTAGAAAGCAGGTGGTCACAAGCCTGCCAACACTGAGGTATGTACTTAATA